GCATCAATTAATCAGGATAGAGTTAGAAGGGACCCTGGAGGTCTTCTAGTCCAACCCTCTGCTCAAGCAGGAAACCCTATATCATTTCAGACAGGTGGCCATCCAGTCTCTTCCAAAAAAAACCTCCAGTGATGAAGCACCCACAACTTCTGAAGGCAAGCCATTCCACTGGTTAATTGTTCTGTTGGGAAGTTTCTCCTTAATTCCAGGTTGCTTCTCTCCTTGATTAATTTCCATCCATTGTTTCTTGTCTTGCCCTTCTGGTGCTTTGGAGAATAATTTGACCCCCCTCCCTCTTCTTTGTGGCAGCCCCTCAAATACTGAAATACTGCTATCATGTCTCCCCCCCCCCCCCCCCCCCCCAATGTCCTTCTTTTTCCTAGACTGGCCAAACCCAAATCCTGCAACTGTTCTTCCTATGTTTTAATTTCCAGGCTTTCATCATCTTAGTTGCTCTTCTTTTTTCAAAGTCTCAGCATCTTTTTTTTTTAAAATCTGGTGACCAAAACTGGAGTCAGTAGGTGAAAACACAGGAGAGGACTCCATCGCTTTCCACAGCTTCCGCCAGTTGATGATTGAAAATAAGATGAGAATTAAGTAAGGGGCTGCAGGAATTTATGGAATAGTTAAAAGGAGGAGGGGAGATGACAGAGTCTTCTTATCCCTTGCAAAGATCGGAAGCCTTCTAGTTTCTTTAAATATTTCTCTCTTTTTTTCTTTTCTTTTGCACTTTTGTGTTTTTCTTTCTTTCCTTTATTAGATTAAGGTTTGGTTTGGTTTGGTTTTGACCTGTGGAAATTAAAGTTATAGAGGCGCTCGCCCTTTAAATCCAAGGCGTTTGCTCCCGCCCGGGGCAAACTCCTTTCTAACGCCCTGCCCACCAGTGCCCGTTCCGCCGCCCACTCCGTGCGTGGGACTGGCTGGTATGCGGCCCGGGCCTCGCCTTCCTGGGCTATGGCAGCCAATCGTGAAGGAAAGCAAGGCAGGAGTTTGACCAGTTGAGGCCAGAAAGCAAGAAAGGGAAGGGAAGGAAAGGGTGCTTGCCCGGAATCAGGTCAGCAAAGAAATGGGGGAAGGAACTTGGGCTGTTGGGGAGGAAGGGGGAGGAAGAGGAGGAGGGAGGGGAAAAGTTACACGGGGGTCCCCATCCGCGAGGAGGCGGAGATCGGAATTCCCGATTGCTCTTGGGGGTTTCTGTCCTGGGGGTTGGGGGGGGGTCTTTGCCAGGAAGGGAAGAGCCACAACGTTTAAAGAGGGAGAAGGGAGAATTTGGGGATCATCTCGAGGGTCTAATGTTGCTTTTCTCGCTCTTCGCCATTCTGAGAGGGTGGGGACTCCCACTCTCAGAGTTCCCAGTCAGCATGCTTTGGGACAGGGTCCCCCCCCCCCCACTTTCCCCCAACTTGGCAACCTTAAGACTTGTGGACTTCAACTGCTAGAATTCCCCAGCCGGGTAGCTGGAAATGCTTTTCACTAGTTGGGAATGACAAACTGCCATCTTTTGGAAAGCTTAAAGAGGTAAAAGTTCCTCAAACCCCCATATCTTTAACCTTAAACTGTCCACCGTGGATCTCACACGTTTTCTAAGAGGTCCCTAAGGGGGCATGCATAAGCCCACCAGCGTGCCTACTGTCCCCATTGATATGTACTCATTTTATGTGACCATGGCCATGTTATATTTACTTATATGCATCTGCTTGTACCAGTCTCATGTGAAAATGTCCATGTCTATACTAATACCTGATACTTTGTACATGTTGACAAATTAATAATAATAATAATAATAATAACAATAATTAAAAATCGAAATTCAACGACTATGGCACAAACCAGCAGTGGTAATTCCAGTGGTAATTGGCACACTGGGTGCTATTCCAAAAGCACTGGAATTACATTTAAAACAGTTAAAAATTGACAAAATCACCATCAGTCAAAGGCAAAAAGCCGCACTG